GGGAGGAAGGAAGGAAGGAAGGAAGGAAGGAAGGAAGGAAGGAAGGAAGGAAGGAAGGAAGGAAAAATTTGTCAGACACAGCCCTTTGATTTCCTTCACGGGGCTCATCACGCTCATTATGCCATCGGGGCAAATGAGGCCACCTGTCTGTGTCTTAGCTCCTTCATCACAAGCTGGAGCTGGGTGCTGTAATGAGAGAAGTGCTGGGTGTTGGCAATGGGTCACCAAGTTACCTTTCAATTACCCGGACCCAGCAGTGGAGAGAAAGCTTTCTCCTTTAGGAGGGGCACGAGGTCGTCAGCAGCGAGGGACGTCTGGGCAGGGAGCACGTCCTAGGAGGGCGTCTGCTGCCAGGCTGCCCTGAAGCCTCTGGGTACTGACAGTTGAAGCCACGTCTCTTCCTCCTCTGAGCCTCGGTTTCTAAAATGAGGGTGTTGGACGGGAGGAGTCTAAGCTCACGTGCCACCTTCACGAGCTGAGGGCCGCCTCTGGCAGGCTGGTTGTGAACAAGCAGAAATCACGTCAGGGCTGGAGAACGTTCCAGCGCCCAGGCTCCTAGGAGACACCTTCCTCTTTCTCACAAGTTCCCCAAAGCCACAGAGCTGGTGATGTGCCAGCTGCTGGGGACCTCCGAGCACCCCGTCCACATTTCGGATCCTTTGTGTGTTCTTCGTGCCTGGAAATTATTCAGCTTATCTTTGACCTGTCAGCATGTTCCTCACGTCTCAAAACAGCTGTTGGAAAGTGAAATGGTTGGACCTAAGCAAGGGGGCGGGGGGGGGGGGGGGGGGGGGGGGGGGGAATACCATAAGATTATTGACACTTGGATGAAAGGATGGAAGGTACTTTTCCCCCTCCATCTTTCTTCTGTTTTCCAAGCTTTCTACAGTGTGCATATATTCTTTTTATCCTTAGGACAAAAAAAAAAAACCATTTTTTAAAAAAAATGCACAAATATAAAATCTTCACAAAACTTGGAAAAAGAGCAGAGAAAGCAGAGACAGAAATTAGTGAACCAAAGTAAATACACAGACGGGAGGCACATACTAACTAGTAAGAGGGCAAGGAGAGGTTCAAGGATGGCAGCCTAACTAGGTGCACCGTGCGGGAGGGGGAAATGCAAAATATATTGGGGTCCAGTCTCAGATGGCTGTGACCTGGGGAAGGCCTGCCCCTTTCTGGTTTTTGTTTCTGCTCCCAAACCAGCCGCGCTGAGAGGGAGGGAGCGCGGGCCAGGCGCGAGATGGTGCTGTCTCATAGTGGGGGCTACTGGAGCCCCCCAAAAGCTCAGGCGTCTCAGAGGAGCCAGGGACTCTCACGTGCCGCCCATGGGAGGAGGAAGACGGGTGTCAGAAGACTCCAAAACCGGCCATGGGAGCCCAGGGTCCACGTGGAAGAAGCCTTCGGGCGGGGGGGGAACGATTTCTCATCTTGAAGTTGTTCTCAGGCATCTGAGGTTCTGCAGGGTCAACCCAGGTAAGTGTCCCCTGAAAAGCCTGACTGCACCCACTCTCCTGCTGCAGGGATGGGGGCAATAGAAGAAGCCCGGAGGGTGGCTGTGACTCCCCCAGAATTCACAGATTGGTGGAGCAGATCAAAGAAACCCCATGCGACCAGGATGGTGCCTCTGGACCTGGTGAACTATGGGTGTGGACACTCTCAGCCAGGGAGGGGCAGTGGCCACACTGGGTGACAGTGCCCACGGAGAAGCTGGTGAAGCAGAAGGGGAGGGGAGGG